TTTAAAAAATTTTTAGTGTTTATGACAGAAAGAGACAGACCATAAGTGGGGGAGGGGCAGAGAGAGAGGGAGACATAGAATCCCAAGCAGGCTTCAGGCTCTGAGCTGTTGGCACAGAGCCTGATGTCGGGCTCGAACCCACGAACCATGAGATCATGACCTGAGTCAAAGTCGAACATTTAACCAACTGAGGTACCCAGATGCCCCTATTTTCAGGGTATCTTACATACTCGAGATGAGTTAAATATACTCATTTCAGAAGTCTATCTTCTTTTTACAGGAAGAGAATTGTATTTGCATTATCATCTTCCAGCTGACACAAAGATCGATATAGCAGGGATAGTTGGAAACTCTTCACTAATTACTCAAGAGTGTTATATACAATTTCAAACAAAGAGAAACATATCACATGCATTTAGAACTGGAAGGATACTGTGGAAATCATCCTAGCCCAAACTTCCCTTTTTATAAATAAGGAATGAGAGATTCCAAAAGTTAACTCAGCTCTTGTCTCTTAAATTTTCAATGCCTACAATTTTATATCATTGTAAATAATGAATTTATAACATAAAAACTATTACACTGATAGACAAGGCCCTTTCTCAAACACCTACTTTAATAGGAGGTAGGAAAAGGATACAGTTCATTTCCCAAGTTATTTTAGGTATAATTTTACAATTTTTTAATAAAACCTTTAACCTAAGCAATTAACTAAAATATGCTCTAAAATTAAAGATGGTTAGTCTATGAATTTAGGTAGTCCTTCAATAATATAGAAACCTAAAATAAGTGAAGGGATTTTATTTTAATTCTAAGTGTTATAAAACAATTTTTTTAAAATGGCATCAGGTTGATTAGCTTGGAGAACTTTCGCGAACCAGTGAAAAGGGTGGTCAATGGAAAGGCCTTAGAGTACTATACAAATTATTGGCAAAAAGAAAAGAGGTAAACCAATTGTAACTACATCTTCAGCATCAATAGATCTACAAACTAATGCTTTGAAAATGGGCACAGTCAGAATGTGCATGTAAAATATTTTGTGGAGAGTAAAATGAGGGAACTCTAAAAAATGAGAATGAACTCAAAAAAGAAAGGTAAATAGAGAAATGTTCATCTTAATCCTCTTGTATGCCCCCAGTAGCATTTCTGATATTCTTAAAAATACTGGCTCATTATATTCAACCACATTTTACACTATTCATATGTCTGGCATGAGTTTTAAAATTCCCAGCAGGAGAAAATGTTATAGAATAGATATATACATATATAATGATCACATAATCAATTTGGACATCTGTAACTATAGATACAGAAATATATAGCATCAACATGTATTCTCATGTACAAGGAGAGGAGAATTCTGGGTACATTAATTTTATCTTTAAGATATTTGTGCTTATAGTTCAGAACATTGCAAATATGGTCAATAGAAATACAGCAAAATATTCACAAAACGGGAATGATACGTATAAACTTACTTGTATCATAAAATGTCCCTTACTTCTGGCAAAGAAGATAATTTACTCTGCTAAAAAACATGACAAAGCTATAGAATTTTTAGATGGATCTAGATATATTCTTACATTTAAACACCTAATGCCAAGTTTATTATAAATTACCATAATACATTATAAAGCACATGAATATTAAACCCGTTCCACACGATGTATGATTTCAGTTAAATGGGGAAAATAATGTTTCAAATCACTAAAATTATGTGTAAGTTTAAATTATTAACTATAATGAATTTCTGACTATCATATTCCCTAATTATAATCAAGATAAAAATACATTCATCAGGGTTACAGCTTTTAGAAAAAAAAAAAAAAGACTGTGTAAATTTCAAGAAGCAGATTTATAAAAAATGTAGAGAACACATAGGGCCATTTGAGTATTTCAGTAAGTCAATCCAGAGTTTATTTGATTTGTTCTCTTTTCTCATCTTAAGCTTCCATATAGCAAGGGTTATTATTCTTCCTAACTTTGGGAAACAGAAAGTATGTGTTTTCTTATGCTGCCTTCTCATCAACTTAAGCATCCTCAGCATGTGTCCCGGCATTAGTCAAGCCAGCCTTGACTCTGAAATGCAAGAGAACAGCCTCACAGTTTATTTTTTTCCCATATTTTGATCTCTTGCCATGCTACTATTTCTTAAGGTCAAAATCCCTCAAAGCTCTGACCTGAATAGCAGTCAAACATTCGGGCACACAGTGTCCCTTATGTGAGCACAATCGGATGCCCTGTCACCTCAGTCACAATTCCTATATCCTTCTGGATGTTAACCATTACCAGATTTTCCTCATTCCTTAAACTGATCTTTAATCCTAAACAGGATTTTTCGAAGGCTGAGTATATCATATCATTAATGGGACTGATTCTCACATCTCCACTCCTGCAAACATGCTGGAAAGTGTGCATACAAGAGAGCTTTGTTCTTCAAAGTCACAACCTCACCCTCCACATTCTTAGACTTCTTCCCATGTTCTTTCAATCAAGCTCAATTTTAGATGCAAGAAAAAAAATTCAAGGGCTCTTTTAGTTATAAGATGCTATTCATGGCTTGCTCTATCTTCCTTTCAATTTCTTTGTCCTTGGGTACCTTCATTTTTATTTTTGTTAGAATCCTAACTCAACCCAGCAATGATCTGGACTGGGCCTCTGATAGTTATTCTTGGGGAAAAAGCAACAAACAAAACCAGAAATCAAAGTGTAGAAAGCTGAAGCTTAGTGTTCTAAAAAGTAACTTGCTTAATATATCTGCTTCTGATCTGGTATAGATCTGGTATAGTAATGCATAAATGTTTGAAAATAAAGATTAAAAATAACATAGTGAACCACAACAAGCCATCGAGACTCACTGAACAGTATCCCTTGTATATATTAAGAACACCAGTGGTTTTCCCCTCCAAAATGCCCTCATGTCTGTGACTTTATTTTATTGGCAAAAAACAGTAGATACATGCTGTTCTGTATATTGGACATCATTTTATAAAGAACTGTATAAACCAGAACTAGTGTTTTTTTTTTATTATAGATTTTGAAAATTTCAAACATAGGAAGGTGAGTAATGACCCTAGGCAGAAGACTTATAATTTTAGGCCATTAAAAGTAAAATTACTAAGGTTTATTGTTTTGTTTTGTTTTTTTACCAACTAGTGTAAAAAATGATATGCACAACACTTTTTTAGAAAGTAGGCTCATTCCAAGGAGGTAAGTATATTTAAACACTGCATTGCTAGGAAGGTCTCCATTCTCCCCATTTCTGGCAGGACTGTGGAAATAAACCACAACATGGGGATTGGTACGCATGTCACTGTCTTGTTAACTCAATGTTTTGTAAAAATATGGTCTGCAGACTATATCAAAGGCTGCATGCAGATTGCTGGTTTACTGAGCAAGATTTTCTGAGCATGAAATCTAGGACTATGAATTTTAATCAGTTTCCCAGGTGATTATTATGTAGACTCAAGTTTGAAAACCACTGGATATAGTACAAGTGAACAAGAACGTGACCTACTGTTAACAGTTACATCTCCATAAACATACCCCTTTAAAGGAATGTATTCCTAAATAATTTTCTTTATAAGGCAATGCCAATCCTTCTTAACATGGTAACTGACCATTTTACAGCAGCAATAATCTATGGAAACAATGGGTACATATTGGAATGATATCACTGTTGGTTTAAAAAGTATCAAATTCTCTAGTATCTCATGTATTTGTTACATAAATTCCAGTGCTAATGCAAAGTATCTATCGCCAGATCATATATAATAATAAGAATCATGATGTGGTTATAAAATCGCTATTCAATCAAGCAATTGCTAGAAATGTATTCAGTGGAAAACACATGGAATTTTTCCTAATGCCCAAAGTGCACAGGAAATGATTACAATATATATCCTTTCAAATTTAAATTTTTAAGTATGAATTTAACTTCAAAGGAAGTTTGAACTGTGACTGAAAATCGTATACACTGCCTGGTCATATTTTCTTAAATTATATTTCTGGAAGCAATACTTTAAACTTCATTTTATCTTTCAACAAACATTTCTAAGTGCTACTTATCAAATGTGAAGTCTCAGGAAAACCAGTTCCCTGCACTGTCTCATAACAAAGGAGATCAATGCCTAAACCTACCGAATGTGGTCACTGCTTTCATAGAGACATATAGATGGTGCTTTGAGCTATGGACTATAACCGACTGGCACAAGTTAGCTTCTATAATGAAAAATAATATGGCAGAATATGTTAAATGCTATTATATATAATGTTAATATTTTGAGTGACTACCCACAATTCCATGATCCAGTAAGAGCAGATAATAAAAGTTTCTACTTTAAAATCGCCCCATTTCCTTTAAATTACCAAAACTTTTAAAATTCTTAACATAAAACCACATTATGACACTACAAGTATAACACAGATGCTTTCCTAATCCACAGACTGTGTGTCCCTGTTGTGAATTAACTGTTTGTGGCAGAAAGAAGAGCCAATAAACAGATCCTTACTCTTATTAAGAAAACAGTTCTCAGTAAAATCAAGGGACCTGGGCCCTAGCCATACTCCTATCACTAACTTCACTTGGATAATTCATTTTTCCTCCCTAAGTTTCATTTTTCTCACATGTAAAATGTAGGGATCAAGGAATAGCCCTCAAAGTTCTATAATCTGTGATTTGGGGTTAGGTTGTGGTGACACAGTCCCCTAGCACTCTGTCAAACTGCTCTAAGTCACTCAGATCCTCATCCCCACTGAATTGGGGAATTACACTCTGAGGCAAGAACTAGTTCACTCAATCAGCACTCACTCCTTCACCTCTCCCCCACATTCTCCACTATCAAGACAAGCAAGAAAGCCATGTTTTTTATTCAAATGACTACTTGGCAAGGACTAACACAGTGATATCTTTTGTAGGCTTATAATACTGCTGTCTTATATGACGATTTCAAGAATCTCGAGGATGACTGATTACAGGGTAATTCATTAGGATCACTAACCTGTGAAGAACTTTTTTCAAGTTTTTGGACTAAGTTATCCCAGCGCTGGGCAAAGTTGTCCAGCCAGGCTTCCATCTTTTGGGCTACCAATGTGTCTTTCAGTGTTGACAGAAGATCTTGGTTGAGTGAGCAGAGTTTGTCCATGGTTTGTTTTTTCTTTTCTAAATCTGTTTTTAAAACCTGTTAAAACAGGAAAGAATACACAATAAGCCTCAATGACACTTTATAAAACACTATACTTCAAATTGCTTTTGTGTGTAGCTTTTCACTTGTCTAGGTACAAAAAGACTATAATCATGCCTGCAAAGGAGCAAGAGCCACTAAGAATGTAAGTAGAAGATTATAATCCAAATAATCTTCCCAAGACACTTGAAGAGAAAAAAAAAATGAAAGTCAGATGTAGAATAAACACTTAGGAGAGAAACTTAAGAGCTACTTAGAAATATTCGAGGAACTTACAACTAAAGAGTGGTGTTACTCAAAGGGCAGTTTACTGACTTTTAAATTTTTTTAGTATCTGTTAATCAATTAACATTTGGCTATCTGAGTAATTATCCTCTAAAGCAAATTTTAAAGCCCATTAAGTAATAGAACTAAGCAATTGAGTGTGACATAAATCCTTTGGAATCACTTTATATGCTTTCTAAGTCCATACGTGTTTTATGGAGTAATTTTTATAACATTTATATTTTCAAAGTTCTTGTGAGTTAACGGAGGGTTACACATGCCCTTTGGTGAAAATGTAATGAATAAACAAAGTGGCTTATATGAAATCAGTAGATATGGACAGCTTATTCTTTCACTTCTCCATTAAGGCCACCCTGTACTTTGGGAAAGCCAATCTCCAGCTCCCAAACACTAGCCCCGGATGTAGCATGTGAACAAACAAGAAGAAGGGAGAAAGGAGACAGTTATTTTACAGCCTCTTTGCAAACTCCTTTTCTCCATAGCGAGTACAGTGAACAGAAACTGAACAGTGAGACCTGTCTTCCCAAAACAAATGCAAATTTAAGAACCACTAATATTACACATTACAAATAAATGATCATGAAACAGATGTACCAATTGCTCATGAACTGACGTGTCATGTACACAAAGAAATCAATACACCACCCCCCATGCAAGGGACACTTTATGTAGCTCATTCTGGCATGCCACTTGCACTGATCACTCTGAACCACAGAATGCTCTGGTAGTTCATCCTTTATTCTGAAACTGATTCACCTGGTGTTCATTTATATTGGATTCCTAGTGCATGCCGCTTTTAAGGTATAAAAGCTGGTTGTGAAGTTGATTTCTAATTTTCCATCAACAATTAGGGGTTTTTTTCCCCCCACTATTCTGTCTCAGTTTGAAAGAATGCAATAAATCAAAATATGAGTTAAGATTCTAAAGATGAATTCATATCAAAATAAAACTTTCAGTGTAAGAACTTAGTAATGCATTGGCTTTATATGTTGATTTTGTTTTTTTAATTTACATGTTAGTTCTCCATTAAATTTAAATGCATTGTGGAATAGTAGTAAAACAACAGTTTATGCTACCTGCCTAGAGCTGGGACCCAAATATGAATTTGTAGATTCCTCCAATTCCTTTATGGCATCCTATCTTCTTTTTGTAGTTGCTGTTCTTTTAACTTGTGGCATGCATTTGTTTTGTTGTAAGCCATTTTAGGTTCTTTTGGGGGGAAATAAGGTTATGATAGAATTAAAGACATGCATTTAAAATTAAAAAAAAAACATGTAAATACAATCCTCTTTGGCTTACTTTCTCAGGGCTTCAGGAGCTAATTTAAATAGCTGTATGCATAGGGCTAAGGGGTACACAGTTATTTAAGCTAAATATGCAATGATTTGGAAACATTTCAGAACAAGGATCTGAGAGCTATGTTTGAAGAAGAGGAAAGAATTTGTGTTGGAAATTTATGGGTAACTTCCTGTCACTTAAACAGTTTTTCTTAGAGGATCTATAAAACTAATTGGATACCCAAAGAGGTTTAGTGGCACTTGCAACTAAGCCTTCTGTGTAAAGATTAAGCCAAATGAAAAAGGACTTGGTGAGCATCACAAAAAAAAAGGGAAAGTCAAATTACCATTAAAGAATACCTTTAGGAAAAATGGATTCAAGGTGAAGTAAAAAGATTATTATAATCAAATTGTGGAATTACTGAATCAACATATTTTTACTTAAATCCATATGACAACAGCATGGTACTAAACAAAGCTTCTAGCTAGTAAATTTTAAAGCTATATATTTTTTTAAAAGGTGAAGGCAAGTTTCTCTCTCTTCATGATCTCCTACTCTCTGAAGTAGGACTCTTCTACTACACCTAACAGAGGGAGAAGACAGGAAATCCATGGTGCTGCCGGATGCATTGAATCACGCTAATGAAGTACCTTCTCTCATCTACTCTTGACTATCAACACTTTTATTCTTGGAATTTATGTATGCACATTAAATAACTATGATTTAATTGTTATTTATTATTAGAGTATAAAAAAAGATGTCTTTCTGCATATCAAAAACTGATTATAAGTCTTTGAGTGCCAGAGAACCACATAACTCTGGAAAAGGAAGAAACTCAGGAAGAAAAAGGAAGCTCTAGAACATTTACAGATGGCAGAGGTCAGCCAGGATTTTAAAAGAAGAAATACATTTTATTTTCCAAGAGCCAAGAAGTTGGACCTATGTCCAGATAGGCAGGAAGGTACAGTCAATAAACCAGACTAGGCCAGTAATAAAGAGGGACAAGGGATAGATAAGCAGACCAAGAAGACAGAACAGACATGTTCTATCTGGTCAGTGTTAGAAGATGATTTGAAGAGCAAAAGGAATGTATCCTTACAAAAAGTCCAGGAAATCCCTGAGGGAACACCAAAATCACCTAGAAGCCTTGCTAAAATGCAGATTTCTGGGCTCTACTTCCAGGCCCTCTGAGTTAATAGGTCTGGGATGGAACCTAAGAATTTGTGTTTATAACAAGTTCCCAGGTGATGCTGATGCTCCAGTCTGGGGACCATACTTTGAGAACCATTGATTCTACTTGGATGAATTCTTTGAAGGTGGTAACAGGAGGTGAGGCCATAATATCAAGTCTTAGTACAAAAGCACTATCAGCAGGGACCTGCTGAGCCACTGTAAGTACTTCCACCCTGCCGTGTGTCCCACAGCCACCTGAGACTGTCCTCAATACCATCCTGTACACCCGAGGCCTGTGGACCATGACACTTCCCAGGGTGGTCCTTCCCAGAAAACACCACAGGTCCTCACAGCAGCCAACAACTCACCCAGGAACGTATTTCTTTTAAATGTGGGCCTTCCCATGATGGCCTACCCGATTCTACAAGTCTTAGAATTCACCTCCTAAAGGCCACAGATTCTTCTCTCCTTTACTTTTGATCATTAACATCAAATAAAAAATCAGTTTTGACCATGAAAAAATAAGAGATCTACATGGTTTGAATAAAAGCACAGATCAAGAGGAAATAAAATACTTGACTCCTCATTTCCCACCTCAAATGAAAAGTAGGAGAATATCCCATGGGCTATTAGTGATGATATTTCAAAACAAATTGCACTGATTATAAATAAAAGAGAGTTTGAGCACACTGTATCTATACCTAGGTATGTAGTAGGAACTGGTGACAGATGGTACCTGTTTTGGGTCTCAGATTGTGACATATTTTAATGAACATAAATTCTTATTCACTGCCTGAGTCAGCAGGGGAATTTTACCTCAAATTCTAGACCAGCTGTCAGGTTTTGTTAATTGGCTTAAACTATCAAACGGTAAGACTTGTACAAAACATATTTTCACTTTGTTCACAAGTAAGGTGACATAATTTGAATTTTAATCATATTGGAAAATTATTGAGCATTTTCATGGTCCTGAGGCTAGTAAAGTCTTTTATTCACAAAAATGTCAACATAGTAGCACTTGATTGTTAGAAATGATGGTTGTCAATCACAGTTCTTTTTATGTCAAGGAATCAAAAGATATGAGGAGTTCTGAAAAAGCTTAAAAGGGATGGACCTGAGTCTGGATGTCTTGGTGCTCAGTTTGACTCTGCTACTAATGCTCTATGATAGCCTATGGATGCCACATGGTTCCCTGCCTTCCGCTCTCTGGGCCTCAATATTCTCTTCTGAAATAATCTTGTCTAGTTCTTCCTCTTCATACCCAATGCTACTTAGTTCAGTTCTACTAACCAGCCTCCTTACTACCAAAGAGTATTCTAAAAACACAAATATGAATTTTATCAAGTTCTCAATGGCTCCCCATCAGCTGTGGAAAAAAAATTACAAATACATCACTGACATTTTTGTATTCTTTTGATACAAATACAGTTCACTGTTCTGAAATCTGTCGTTAGTGATGAAATCACTCCAGAAAGCATATATTTTTTGAGGGGTGAATTCTTATTTATAACAAGCTAGCCTGTAATGACAAGCAATATATTTGTGAATCAATTTTAAACTAAAAGCCCAAGGATTAGTAACTAAGGAGCAAAAATGCATGATACAAATCAATATTTAGTAAAATGGTATAAATTTAATTGGGGAAACATATTTAGGGTTAGCTTTAAACAAATGATTTAATTATGTCATACAATATAAATATAGATATAAATAGATTCATTTAGGTAAAATTATAAGATGTTATTTACAACAGATCTTTGTTTTATATTAAAATTAACACTGAGCTAGCATTTAAGAGAAGTGCTTTATCAAAACAAGAAGATATTCTAACTATGGATTATTTTATTTGAAAAATTAAGCTCTTGATATTACAATGTGCTCTCCTTTACAGCCAAATACTAAAGTTCACAGTGGAAGAGAAGCTTTAGAGATCTTTTCTAATCCTCTAAGTTGCCACTCACACTGAAATATCTCACTGAAGCCCTCTGTGATATTCTTTTATTGCAAAAGTTGCCTCATTTCTCAAAACACACAGGCACTTATAATTCATGCTGTTCGTTTGCTTCAACGTTGTGTCTAGTTTCCCAAATGCAGGTATAAGCCCCTTATGTGAGGATAATCATATCATATCCTTCTCCTTCTCAAAGCATTTAATTTAGACTATTACTTTAGAACCAAAGACTGTTTAGAACTTCACAGGACATTCCTATGTACTTCTCAGTGTTACCCTTTTCAACTGAAGTCTTATTCTAGGTATGCCATATCTTTTTCAAAATTACAATTTTTTTGAAAAGCATAGTTGCAAATCTGCCTGCATCTTATGGAATTAATGTTCATATTCCTCCAAGATTCATGAAATGAGGGCTGAAGCCTCCACTGTGTTAGTATTAGGAGCCTAGGCTTTGAGGAGGTAACTGGGTTTAGATGAGGAGAAAAGAGTAGAGCACCACGATGGATCAGTGCCCTTGGAAGAAGAGGAGGAGACATGAGATCTTCCTCTAATTCTGCTATGTGAGGATACAGCTAGAAGTGGCTGTCTAAAAGCCAGTAAAATGGACCTCACCAGGAACAAAATCTGCTGGCACCATGATCTCATATTTCGGGGCTTTCAGAAGTGGGGGAAATAAATGTCTGCTGTGTAAGCCATCCAGTTCATGGTATCTTGTTATAGAAGTCTGAGATGCCTAAGACAGGAATTGGTACCAAGAAGCAGGGTATGACTATAACAAATACCTAAAAATGCATATACAGCTTTGGAACTGAGTAGTGGGTAGAGGCTGAGAGATCTCCAAGGTGCAGGTTAGAAAAACTGGAGATTGCCATGAAAGGACTCCTAAAGCCAATTCTGGTGAGGCTCAGAGAAGGAGACCTGGAAAGTGTCCTGTTTTTGGAGAATACAAAAATTAAAATGGACAAAATATTAGTATAAATATGGATGGCAAAAGTCATTCTGATGAGGTCTCAGATGAAAATGAGGATTATATTATTGGCAACTGGAGGGAGGATGATGTGGTTATAAAGAGGCAATGAACCTGGGTGAATTGTGTTCAAGTTCCAGCATTTTGCAGAAGGTAGAGCTTGTGAGTGATGAAAGTGAATATTTAGCTGAGGAGATATCTAAGTAAAGTGGCAAAATTTCTCTTGCTCATGGGAAAATGGGGGAAGAGAGAAATGAATTAAACAATAATCACTTGGCATAAAGGCACTAGAATTTAAAGATGTGGCCAATCCTTGGCCTATCCATATTGCAAAAAAATGAGAAAATATGTTCGGAAGAGAACATTAAGGGTAAGGCTGACTGACCACGTGCTAAGATTAGTGTGGGTGGGAACCAGAGACCTAGTGAATCGTCTCAACAGAAATCAGGAATGGAGATGGGATTATACCAACAGAAACACTGCCCGCTGAGACCAAAGGAAACAGAGAAAAATGGACAGAATGAAGGAAGGCTGTCCAACATGTGCTATTCCTCAAGAAAAGGGAGGGATGATGTAGGTGATTCCGAGATATAAGAGGTACCACTCCCACCCCAGGCCCAGAGAGCAGGGCTAGTGCCTCCTGGGTTTCAAAGAGTGGGGCTACCTCTTCAGTCTGTGGGGCAGGATGCCCCTCTCCAGTATGGCAGGAGTAGAGCCACTGCAGAGAAGCCTGTGGGTAGGGCTGCTGCAGAGGGCCACCCGGGTGGTGCCCTGTGGAATTGAAGAGACAAGGCTAACTTGTGGAGCCCTGGCAGTGATGCTGCTTCTCCAGTGGTCTTGGAGGGCAGTGCATCAGTCCAAAGAGGATCATTCTTGAGGCTTAAGATCTAATGGAATGTTCCTTGCTATGCTATGTTTTAGATCTATTTGGAACCTGTCGCTCCTTCCTTCTTTCTCTTTTCTCCTTTTTGGAAGGGGAATGTCCATCCTATGTCTGATGCACGAACATATTTTGGAAGCACATGACTTGCCTGGTTTCATAGTGTCACGGCTGGATAGGAAGTCTACCTTTGGATGAATGGCACCTGGAGTCTTACCACATCGGATTTAGATGATTAAGAAACTTTGGACTTTATACTCTAGAGCTGATTCTGGAACCATTTAAGACTTATGGAGCTCTTAAGATAGAATGAATGCACTTTGCATGTGAGAAAGACATGAATTGGCGGGGGGGGGTCTGTGGGTGTGATGTTATAGACTGAATGTCTGTGTTCTCACTAAGTTCAGATGTTGAGGGGCGCCTGGGTGGCTTAGTCGGTTAAGAGTCCGACTTTAGCTTAGGTCATGATCTCGCGGTTCGTGGGTTCGAGCCCCGCGTCGGGCTCTGTGCTGACTGCCAGCTCAGAGCCTGGAGCCTGGTTCAATCTGTGACTCCTTCTCTCTCTGACCCTCCCCTGCTCATGCTGTCTCTCTCTCTCTCTCTCTCTCCTAGAAATAAATAAAAAATATTAAAAAAAAAAAGATGTTGAACTCTACTCACACACATACATAAAATGTGATGGTATTAAGAGGTGGGGCCTTTGAGAGGTTACTGGGTTTAGATGAGATCATGAGGGTGGAGACCTCACATTAGGGTTCAAGCCCTTATAGGAGGAGGAAATAGGTGAAGATTGGTCAAAAGGTACAAACTTTCAGTGATAAAATAAGTAAGTATGGGGAATGTAATGTGCAGCATGGTGACAACAGTTAAAAATAACATAATGTGTATCTGAGAGTTGCTAAGAGAATAGATCTTTACAGTTCTCATCACAAGAAAGTCAATGTAACTGTGTAGGTGGCAGATGTTAACTAATCATGGTGATCATTTTGTAATACATACAAACACTGAATCATTATGCTGTACATCTGAAAGTAATATAATATGATACATCAATTACATTTATATTTTAAATATTAATTTAAAAACATAGGAGATGGGCTAGATGGCCGATGGGTATTAAGGAGAGCACTTGTGATGAGCACAGGGTGTTGTATGTAGTGATGAATCACTGAATTCTACCGTTGAAACCACTACTGCACTATAGATAAACTAAAATTTAAATTGAAAAAAATAAAGGTGGGAAAACAACACCAAAAATTTCCTATCTTTTCTACCATGGGAACACAAGATAAGAAGGTGCAGTCTGAAAATGAGGAAAGGGTCTTCATCAAAAACTAGATCTGCTGGTACAGTGATCTTGGACTTCCCAACTTCCATAAGTGTGAGGAATAAATGTTTGTTGTTTAAGTCACCCAGTCTATGGTAATTCTGTTATACCAGCCCAAGCTGTTTAAGATAATATAGCTGTCGCTATTTTAAAGAAAATTTACAATATGATATAAATGAATAGACTACAATGTAAGCCAGAACAATGAGCATTTGGTTTAAGATTGCAAAGAAAAAAAAAAGAGATCAGATAATGGTGTTACTGTCAATTGTTGGGTTTTAGAAAAAAGTTTTGAAAGCTAAAAAATACATACAGCCAGTTTCTGAAGACTTGATAACATTTCACTTTGATCCTTAAAGCCAGTTGTGTGAATCTTGTTCAATGCATCTTCTTTTTCTAAAAGCCATGCACTAAAAAGGCACTGAAAGAAATAAAATAATTCCAAAAAAGAACATTAATAATTACCGATCATTACTTATTACATAATTACATCATCCTATGTTTTCTTTTACCCCTTTAACATCTACCGTATCTCTCACTGATACAATTTCCCCACATGACTCACCTGTTCTTCAGTAAAACGCTGCCATTTCAGGAGGATGTCTTGTAAAAGAACCCAGCGATCTTCTGTCCATCTACAGATGTTTGCCCATCGATCTCCCAGTACCTGGGGAACAAACAACCCATCACCACATCAGCAAACAATTGTTAACTGAATTTCATTTAAAATTGCATGAATAAGGAAGCTCAGTCTGTTAAGCATCCAACTCTTGATTTCAACTCAGGATCTGATGGTTTGTAAGATAGAGTCCCATATCACTGGGCTCTACACTGACAGCATGGAGCCTGTTTGTGATTCTCGCTCTCTCCCTCTTTCTCATTGTCCGCCTCAACTTGTAAGTGCCCCGCTGCTTCCTCTCTCAAAATAAATAAATATTCAAAAATAAAAATAAAATGAAATTGCATGAATGAATCATAAAAGCAATCATGAGTCTCCTATGTATACTAGGAGTTGTAAAGGACACCCTTCATGATTTGCTTATAATTACATAAGTAGTATGCCTTTCATTTGTCTTGAGATTATTTCACTCACTCTTTGATCTTACAGTGAAAAGTAAAGATACTTATAAGAAGTCTGAGGTGGTTATCATACCACTATTTGAAATGTCTCTGTGGTAAATTAAACAGAGCTAAGACATAAATATAGAATTAAAGAGGATTTTGCATGGATAATATACAAAATGGGTATCTTTCTTAGATCTGAAAATATATCCCAAAGAATAAAAGTCTGACTACTAAATAGAATACCTAAAGACTCTTCTGGGAAGTAATCCTGTGTAATTAGAATTGCTTAATGTCTTAATTGTAAAAGAAAATTTCAATTTAAATTACATCCACATGTGGACTTTAAAAATTATCTAGATTATTATTACAAACTATTTAAAATCTCTCTGTCTCTAAAGTATTCAAGAGAGAAAACTGTAATATTCCCTGTGTAGTAACTGCCATCTCCATAGCATGTTACTAATATTTATAGACACACACTATTTTAATACGTCACGTAAACCAACTACCAATGGTATGTATGTATATATTTTTGTACATATGTATATATTTGCTGGCTGCTGGAGACAAACATCTTTATTAAAGATACTACCAAAATTTTGACAAACATTTCACAAGAGATTTGCAAACAGTGCTTCCAACAGGCAGCACTTTGAAAAGTCAATACAATAAGACAACACAACTTGAATCGACATTAGTTCAAAATCCTTGCATTTTTGACCACATTACTTATGTTCCCACATGATAAAACAAATGATAGTTTAAGTCGACATTAAAAGATAAACTCAATGAAATGAAAGTTTGTGCTGTTTGATGAATCACAATATGATATGGTTAAATGTGTCCATTCTTTATATTTCTGGGTCCCAGGATGAAAAGAAAAAAAAAACTTTAAAGATACATTTCATGCCGTTAATAGTTTCTTTGTATATCTCTTCTTCAAAAAATGCTTTGTAGCACTATATAAGTAGGTTACCTACATGTTTAATTCTATACCTTTGACCGAAACTATAGATCTGTTTCATTTTCATAACACTGATTTTGTCCAACATTAATAAAGCTCCCAAACTGTTGAAATGGAAATGCTTTTGTCTTCCACAAGAGAAGTAACAATTGACAGAAAAAAGAAACCCGTATGGTAACGCTCATCAGTTGCTTACCTGAGGGTTTGACCTACTGAGATTAGTAGCATTTTTTTCCTCCATGCACACTCACATGCACATCACCTCTGCCCAAATGTAGCCTGAGCATGTACTTTCAGACACCGGTAGGCCACAGTATGCTTCCCATTGCTCTAACCAAGCAGGAAGCAATGTAGCTAATGATTAACCACACCATGTACAGAACTAGCGAACACCTTAAGACAACCATTCCAATGGGGGGTTAACTTGAAGGGTGGATTTACTGTTCTAAATCAAATCAGCCTGTATGTACGTGTGTGTGTGTGTGTGAGCATATCTGTACGCATACAAATGCTCATATATCTTTCTATTCCTTAATGCTCCAAAATAATGTTTTAACTTTTTTTATATTTTGTGTGAATTTCTAAGTATACTACCATTTTACGGCAAAGAATTTGCATTAAGAAATATCAGGAAATAGGCTTATGTTTATCTAAAACTTTTTCACCTTGTACATTACTGGTTTTCTTTTAAACATACTACCTAAATAATCATTTCTAATGATAAACACAAGATTTTAAGGAAAAAAAAACTCATGTGAAGTACTGACACTGTATGTCAAATATTAAAAAAAATATATTTCTATTGAAAAACATAAATTGGGGGGAGGGGCAGAAAAAACAGCCTCATAGATTCAGGGAACCAAAGTGCAATGGGTAAAAAAAATAACTCAAGTTTATTAACATTGAAACTTGCAACAAGCAAAGTTTCATTTTTTTTTTAGAATCTTAGAACAACTCATTTGGAACTTTAAATACACCCAATCAAAATTGCGCCTGTATTCTTCTCAAAGCTAGAACAAATAATCCTAAATTGTGTATGGAACCACAAAAGACCCTGAATAGCCAAAGTAATATTGAAGAAGAAAACCAAAGCAGGAAGCAGCACAACCCCAATCTTTAGCCACTACTACAAAGCTGTAATCACCCAGGCAGTATGGTATTGGCACAAAAGTAGACACAAAAACCAATGGAATAGAACAGACAACCCAGAATTGGATCCATGAAATACAGGTCTAGCACCATGACTCTACTTGCTGGTGGTCAAATTCACCTATTAGTGTTTTGTGTTTTTTGTTCTGATGTGAGCCAGCTTGTTATGAAGTTAATTGCATGCATATTTTTCTTCGTGATAATTGGGACTCGACTGCTTGATCTTCTGATATTCTTGTAAGACTTCTTCATGAACATTTTGATTCTCTTTTGAGCCCAGAGAAACCAATTTTGTTGTGCATCAAGCTTGATAAATCTTCTATCTACAGTCTCCATCCTGGCACGCAAGGCCCTATACTCCTCAAACTCACTCTTAAAGTCATACTTATAATTCCAGTATTGCTCAGAGAAGATAGGAATCTATTTTATCAAATAAGCTGGTAGTTCAATTGTGGAAGAAGGCTCCATAGAGGCAGTGCGACCTTCATTAACTCCTTCACTGTTAACTGGACTGAAGTTTTCTTCAGCTTGGCAAGTCCCTCTTCTCTTTTAAGGTACTCTTCCTTTTCTTCAGGTGTCGCAAAGTTGTGGTTTTTAATTTGACCTTTGTCCTTCTTTTTTTTTTTTTAGACTTTTTTTTAACTTTTTGTGAGACTGAATGGTTTTCTTCCATAGGCTTTGGACACTTTAGTAGAAGTGAACCAGAGAATAGTATTTCCAGAGAAGTTCTAGAAGAATATTTGTCTTGCTGGTCCTCATAGAGACTACTGTTTTGACTAAAATTGTCAACAGATAGGGCCTGAGTCCTCCGGCCTTCTGAAGTGCTAGGCGAAGTGGAGTAAGAACTTAGACTGAGGAGCACTGGAGATAGGCAGGTGGACTGAAGGCAGCAGTGAGGGGTAGGGATGGCAGCAGCTGCAGGGCGCCCCAGGGAGCCTGCAGCAGATTTTTCACGGGTGGGATTCCAAGGACCATTGACTGCTGGAGGCACTCTTTGTCAAGTGAGATACTTGAGATATTTTTAATCATTAAAAGATCAATGAAATCCAAATCCAAGAGCCATTTCTGAGGAAAAGATACGGCTTTGCTACTAGAACATGCCGGAGATTCTGAATAGCTAGTTCTGGCAGCATTCTGAGATAAATTTAGTTTTCTCCAGAGCATTAACTCTGATTGTTTACTTCACTGTATCCAGGCCAGTCTCTTTGATGCTCTTTAAAAACATACTTTACGTTATACAAGAGGCCCTTAGGATTCCGATTGGCTACCTGTTGCAGAATTGCTCGGAGGGAGTTCCCATCTTGTTGACTGACAACACCTTTCTGCTCAGATTTCTTGTGGGCTTTCAGTGACAACAAGTGAATCACACTGTCTCTATGTGGCCCATGAGAAATACTGCTGCTGCCCTGTGTCTTTTGAATCATATTTGCAATATTCCTGGAGGGGGAGGGTGACCATTTCCTTTCAGGTGCTACATCTGAAACAGCCTGAGGTGCTTTCTGAATTTGCACTCTTTGCTCTACATATGGTCCACCAAGTTTGATAACTTCTGTGCTTTGCTGCGGGACTCCTCCTCTGCCTCAGGCATTCTTTCTCCAGTCATCTGATAGGAGTGGATGTTGCACATACTGTGATTTTATCTTGCAAAGGAGCTGGGAGGCTCCAGAGCTAGAGAACATTTGCTGGACATAGTCAAGGCTGACCTGAGAGTTGTCTTTATCCACATTTGACAAACAGAAGGTAAAGCCAAACACTTTATTATGAAGATCATTTTTAGGAATGTTGACAAGCTCCTGGAACCCTGAAACTAAATTGAAGGGTAAGAAGGAATTACTGTAAAACCATGAATTCCAAGTAACCTTTTATGTGAGTGTTCTGAAAGACTAGCAAACATTTTAACTTGATAAACGACTGATGTCTTGCAATATGAGTGGTACATGACACTGAATGTCACATGAGCACAAGTGAGCCAATGGATCTTCTCTCTCTCTCTCTCTCTCTCTCTCTCTCGTTGCAGGATTGTGGGTGATTGTCTTCCATGCTTGGATGCTCAGTCTCAGGCCACGGTTGTTTGGCAGAAATCAGTGATTTTTCAGAATGTTGGAAGGTGCCCACAACTGGCACTAGTGTAATATTTTTTGTCACTTCCAAGCTCCTATGGAAGTGAAAAAAGCAAGCTCCTTTGCTTTTCCAGACAAGACTAGGCTTAGGAATGCTGTACTTCATTCTAGGTCATTGGGTAGGTTCCTTGTTAAAGGTGTACGTAAAGAAAAAAGATTCTGTTGAGCCAAGAGTGACCCAGCAGTGATTCCATTAGTGATAGTGAAAGTCGTCCTACACAATAACCCTTCTCTTCCTCACATCAGCCACGAATGCTTTCAAAGGTAAGTGCAGGTTAATTTATTTTCCTTTATATTTTGTATTTTCTCGATTATTTCACATCATATTAAAATATTGTAATCATTTTTATATGAATATATTGGGGTTGT